TGTTTCTCAAGGAGTAAGCTGTGGTTCCGGCGAGCAGGATGAGCCCTTCCTACTGTGGCTGCTCGGCACTGACAGATGGGATGTCCCTGCTCTCTCCAACCGTTTGTGCTATGCAGCCTGGTCCTGGGACCGAGCCCCAGCCAGCGGGGCTCGTCCTCTTCCTCGTCACCCTTTAAACTCTTGCCATGCTCTCTTTCCCTGAGCTGTAGGGAGGAAGGACATGTAACAGCACCATTCAGGAGTGGTTAGCAGGCTAAGGCGAAATGACAGCTCCCGGATCTTACAAGTTACCACTTGGCCACTCTGTGTTGCAGACAACAAAATTGGAACCCGGAGAAGGGAAGCAATTTGCCCAAAGCCACACAGCTAGATGGAGGCAGAGCTGGGGGTGGAAGCCAGGTTGGTTCTGCGTGGCTTTGGGTCTCCCTCTGGCAGGGTTCTCCCTCTCATTGTTTTTATTGGGCTGGGGTTGAAATGAAGTGTGCGTTCCCGAAAGCTGGCAGGGACAGACAGCGGGGCAGTTTAAAATAGGTAGCAGGGGGACTGTGGGGTGGAGGTGGCTGTGGACTGGGTTGAGCAGTCAGCTACATTTTCGAGAAGAAAAGGGAGGCCAAAGACTGGCTGGCTGCTGAAGGCCAGGAGCAGATTGTGGCTCCCCTCCTTCGGCGTCCTGGGTCCGGGGCCCCCGGCTGGTGAGCCGGACGGTGCATGCTGGAGTGTGATGGGAGAAGCAGAGTTTGAAGATGCTCAAGGACCCTCGGTTTACAGCAAGATGGTCGCAGGTCCTGCTTTCCTGAGATGCTCATCGCGAGAACGGGAGCTCCAAAGGCACACTGAGCAGATTGCTTCTTGGGAAATTACACTTGCCCCCCACCATGTTGTTTTCCGTCATTTATTAGCCTAACAATCTCGCCGGAGACGTGGGGCAGATGTTACTCCCCGCACCCAGTTGGGAGCACAGATTCTGAATTGCACAGGGTCTCTGGGCACGTTTCTCTGAACTGCTTCTGTCTGCATCTGCTAGATTAGCTCCTTCTGAGGAACAATGTTTTCCCACCAGCCAAGCTGCCTTCTTTGAACCACACTTGAAAAGAAACTTTCAAAGGCCGCACCCGCCTCCCCAAACACCTCTTTCCAAAGGCAGCCGTCTCCCCGTTGGGAGCACCTACCTTCTCCCAGGTCCACATGTGAAAATCTGGCTCAAAGGCAGTGGCTTTGCGCGACCCACTCGGAGGGAAGGACAGAGGCCAGGATGGAGGCCAGCCTCACTCGGACCACGACTGCCTTATTGATAACACGGTGCCCTGGATTGCCAGGAGGAGTTTGCCAGCGTGTGATTCAGTTCCATTTTGTGATTTGTGACCTGTCCCAATTGTGGAAGTCACATATCTTGATTCCCGCCCCCCCCCCCCCTTGGAACTGAACATTTCGGGCTTGTTTGAGTTGGACCAAATGCTGTTTTAACAGCTGTTCTAATCGGAAATGCTGTCCATGATTAACCCTGATGGGAGTTTTTCTTTCAAAAGTACTTCTCTAAGCTCTCTCAGAAATGTCGAAATTGGGCTTCTTGGTAGGAAGTTGTTTAGCGGGGTTGCTACATTGCTGGGCGAGCGTCAGTTTCCCCATCTGAATCGTGGAGATGGTCATGGTAAGGGCCTTCCCGGAAGGTTACTGTGAGCTCACACGTGGGAAATGCTTGGGAACAACTGGGGTGGTGCGTGGTAGCCATCATTATTATTATCGTTGTTGTTAAGAGTGTCTCTGTCCTGCCAGCTTGTATTTCCAGGAGCTTCCCCTCTGGGATCACCACCCTCCAAAGAATCAATGTTAGGGAACAGTCCTTGAGGGGGATAGTCTTCCTGTCCATTCTTTGACTCACCAGTGAGCGGAGCCCCTTCCCGGGCGGGGGCGGGGGGCGGCCCACGGAGAGATGGGTAAGGCTCATTCCCTGCTTCTACTATTTGGAGAGACCAGCAGGGAGGGGAGTGCCACTCCGCGGCGGCAGGCAATCACCGTGCAGTGATAGCTGGGAGGGACATTGTGGGCATGCTCTCCACCCACCCACCCCAGACCCAGGGACAGGGAAGCCCTGATTTACTATAAGCGCTCACCAAGTGCGCAGCCCCCCTCCCTCCCCTCTGCCTCACCTCCCAACCCTGTGTCATTCTGTCTTATGCACCCAGGCCGGCCTTGAGTTCGGGCCCAGAACGGGGCCTGAATGCCCATAGCTCCGGCCTCCAGAAGGTTCCCTGTCTGTGTGGAGTGGTTCTGATGGCCCTCGGTGGATGTTTGTGGTTTTGGGAGGTGGGCGAAGGAGGCAGGAACTGCTTCCAGTAGGGTGGAAGGGTGAGTCTGGGCACTTGGCTCGGGGCCACCCGCAGGACTTCTTGGGGGGGCCAGCGGTGGTCACCTGGTGGCCTGGATGCCAAGCCTGGAGCTGGGCACAGCTACGGGAAATCTTAGCAGGACCCTTTTCCTCATAGCCAGAGGATGCTGGGCTCCCGACCAAACCCTGCAGGAGGATCCCACCTGTGGGAAGCCTTTGGCCACATGTTTGCTACACGGCATGGGGAAGGGGAAGGCCAGCTACTTTTCATTTTTTGCTTCGAACCATCAAGACCCTGACACTTGACCTCTTTGCTAGAGGAAGGAAGCAACAGATGGGAACCCTTTTATAACCACCCACCCCAGAGGTTATGAGAGCTGTAGTTGCTGCGTGGGAAGGTTCCAAGCCTGCCTGCCCCCTGCCTTCCTGGCTCAGGGGTGGGGGCAGCAGCCGGAGACCCAGCAAGACCCACCGAGACAGCTTGTGGCTGGTCTGGCTCCATGGCCCTGCCTCACCCTGTTGGCGAAAGGCCGCTGCCCGCCCCACCCCCCAGTTGTTGTGTCAACATTCCATCCACCGCGGCCCTTCCCACAGATGTCGCCCACCCTGGGCCAGGCCCAGATCTGCAGTCAGGGGGGCCTTGGAAAATCAATGCACAGAGGCCCGTGAGACTCTTGGCTAAATATTTATTGAGTACCTATTGTGTGCCAGGCACTGCTGTGCTGGTCATTGGTGGTAAGAGGCTTTGGACCAGTGAGCCTGGTTGGTTTAGTTTATGTCTGTTCTCTGTTTTTAATATATCCTTCTATTCTAATGTGGCACATGAACATCCGTCAGTTGAATGACCGTGTTGTCCTGTGCAGGTTTGGACTGAGATGCAGACTGGCGGAGTGTCCTAGAACTCCTGCCCTGTACACCGCTGATCCTATTTCCTTCCCCTTCCCCACTATCAATCGAGGGAAAGATGAACAGAAATGAGAAAGGATCCTCTTTGGGAGAAGAACTCTTCCCACTTACTTAGATTAATAATTTATACAGTAATTACTTAGTCATCTTCCTAGATTCCTCACAATATAAATGATGGGAATCTAGTGGGTCAAGTCCAGGGATGGTGCTAAAAACCCTACAATGCACAGAACAGCTCCATTCCACAAAGAAGTGTCTGGCCTCAATGTCCGCAGCACTGAGGCTGAGAAGCCCTGGTGTCCATTGTCCTTACTGGAGCGTACCCAAATGGCAAATGGGGCAGTAAGGCCCAGAGGTCTCAGCTAGGGGAACACTCCCTCTCTCCCCTGGAATTTGGAAGTGGGACCCATTATTGGCATTCAGTGGGTCATTCGGTCCTTTGCAACGAAGAATTGTTCCACCCCGGATGCCCACAGGGGCAACTCTGGCCCTATCCTGAGGATTGGAGTGTTCCAGGAGAGGAGCAATTCCTGGTCCCCACTCAGTATGCCCCCAGTAGACAGACTGTCCGTGTTGGAGCCTGCCACCATGGCCGGCAGCCCCTGGATGTAGGGCCACACAAGTCTGTCAGGTTCCCAGTTGATGGCCTGTCTTGTCTCTTCACCAACCAGAGGCGTCCTCATCAGTGGCTGGGGGTTAGAGGGAGGTGGGGTGCTAGCCCCAGGAATTCTCCCAAGGTCTGGGCTCTGTTTTCTAAGCCTTCAAACATCATTGTTTTTAAGTGCACCAGGATTTCTCATCAAGAGCCATTTGACGATGATCAGATTTTTAAAGGCTGTTGTCATGGTTTTGTCTCTGGAAGATTGCTGGGGGCTGATGAGCGCTTTGAAGCCCGCACTGGGACCTCAGTCCTAGCGGCCTCGGGATTCAGCAGGAGATAAGGAAGGCAATCCTGAGCCCTGTCTGTCAGGGGGCCTACGCCTTCCTGTCTGGACACAGTTAACCATTTGGCACTTTTTTTTTTTTCAGACTGCTCTTGATCCAAGATCGGAGGATTAACATAGGACAGGGGTGGCAGAAGTTGTTGATATTTATCTAAATGTGATCTTGGCTGCCATGCTGGGGATGGAGCGGAGAAGTGGTCAGCTCATGGTCAACTTCTGGGAAGGATTGGGGTTCCAATGAGTTGCCTCCTGAGCAGCTTCTTCAAGAAGGCACTGCTTTAACCCTAAAATGGGAAGCATTGGTGGTGGGATTTCAGGCTGGGTGGGGGAGGGATCCGTCTGGTGGGGGAGAGGCAAGGTGAAAAGTGGAGAGGGGTGAAGGAGGCCCTGGAAGGGGTCACCTGCTTTGAGAGCCAGAGAACCTGTCCTGCTGTTGCCATTGGGCAACACTTTGCTCAGATAATGGGTTTTACTGGGGTATGCAGTGGGGGGTGGGGGTGGGGGTGGGGTTGTTCTTGTTTCGTTTTGCTTTGTTTTTAATTAGGGCTTCCGTCCAGAGCGGGCGGACTCTCTATCGTCTGAACCACACATGTAGACCCCGCTTTGATAGGAAATTGGAGCTCCCCACAGCCAAGGCAGCCTGGCTAGGGGAGAGCCTCGGATTTAGCAAGGCCTCCTGGCAGGGGGCCAGCTGAGGTGGGGGGGGAAGCATGGAGCCCGCCTGGGGGGGTCTGTGGTTTTGGGGGAGTGCACTGACACCTGTGGGACATTTTGGCGACTTGATACATCTGCCTGTGCTTCACGCTGTCTCTCTTCTTCTGCAGACAGAGATTGCGAAGAGATTGAACACGATTCTAGCACAGATCATGCCTTTTCTGTCACAAGAGGTAAGACCTTCTTTAACTGTGTCCTCCATGTCTTTCCAGTGCAATGCAGCATGGTGCTGCCTGGGTCCCCCTGGAGTCCCAGCCCCTGTTCTTTCATAGGGACTGAAGTTAGCAACCTGAGGATTTAGAGAAAATGCTTTGGCACATCAGAGGGAGCATTTGCTCGTTCTTCTGGTAGAACTGGTTCTCTGCTACTTCCTGAGACCAAAGAGAGGAGGATCCTGGCCTGTGATGGGGCTAGCGACGGGCAGTGGGAGCCCTCTGCCCCCACCCCCATCCAGACGGCCATTCCTAGCCTCTGTTTGTCTGTGCCCCATCTCCCACACCTGGAAATGTCTAGGAGCAAGAAGCCTGGCCAGATAGTGCTAAGGGGCAGCCCTTATAAAGGGAATGAGTACCCAAGGGGGACCCTAGTCCCTAGGACAGAGTGTCCTCCCTAGAGGCATGACCAATCATACTACCTTCTAAGCACACCTCCCAAGGGACCACCACCTGAGGCCTGGACTGGTCTAGTGGGGAAGACGAGGGAAGTGTCTCCAGGGAGGCCCCTTGGTGGTCAGACAGGTGACTGCCTGAGAGGGGCCTGTTTCTGTCCAGCAGAGCTCCCTCCAGCTGGGGTAGGCCCTGGCCTCCGTGCCCCCTGAGGGGCTGGGACCACCTCAGCTCCCTCCCGGACTCCTAGGTCTCTGAGTCAGAGTAGTGACCCGTAAACGATTGAGTCCGTGTGAAAATACCATAGAGTGACGTCCTCAAGCTTACAGCCCAGTAGGGGAGACAGCTACCTACAAAGCAGATGCTATCCCAAGGCCGAAGGGAATGAACGCACCAAAAACATACCTTTGTTAAAACGGACTTTATTTTTTTAGGGTGGTTTTAGGTTCACAGCAACCTATGAGTGGAAGGTACAGAGATCTCCCCTGTTACTAACATCCCGCACCAGAGTGTTGGCATTTGTTACAGTTGATGAGCCTGCGTTGACACATCATTATCATATACCAAGTCCCTGGTTTATATTAGGGTTCATCATGCCACTTTCTCTGTCCTTCCAGACATATTTTCGTTTTTCTCTTCACTTAGCTAGGGATTGAATACTTCTAGATTCACATACTTTTCTTCTGAACTCCTTGAATGTAAGTTGCAGATACCCTGACTCAGCACTCACTCCTAGCTGCGTCTCCTGAAAATGGGAACCCCCTTTCTGTGACGAATGCCATTACTGCATTTAGAAAATTAATAATGAGAACTGTCCTCTCCTCTCCAGCTCATATTCAAAGGCACAGAAGGACTTTTTTTTTTTATGTGTCGTAGAGGGAGGCGGGTCTTTGGGCTCATGGCTGTTTTAACTGAAAACAATGTGTGGGAAGTCGTGCTCGCAAAAGTAATACATGCTCATGGAAAGCATTTAAGGCAGAAGATAGAAAGGCCTGGGCCACCTGTCTCATGGACCTCCTCTGCCTCGTGCGGGGGCTGCGTCCCGGCCTGTCCCCCGCGGCCCTCACTGTGCCCCCTGTGGCCGGGGAGGCAGTGCATCTCACCCGCTCCCTGTGTCCCCCAGCACCAGCAGCAGGTGGCGCAGGCCGTGGAGCGGGCCAAGCAGGTCACCATGACGGAGCTAAACGCCATCATCGGGGTACGTGGACTCCCCAATCTGCCTCTCACCGTGTGTATAGCCCTTTTATTCCTCTCATTTACCATAACCAGAGATCGACCCTGACCTCAGCTGGCCTCAAAGAATGGCGGCCCCAGGGCTCTGGTTTCCCATGGCTTGGACCCATTCGGGGCTCTCTCCCCACAAGCCCCCCAGTTACCTCCTGCTCCCCAAATTGACGGGTTGTCTGAGATGCCTCAGTTCCACCTCTAAACTCACCAGCCCCAACCTCCTCCAGCTTTTGGTGCCCCACCATGGAGGGGGCAGGCTCTGAGATAACGCTCATGCCCAGCTCCTCCTCAGGCCTCCCCCGGGGGGGCCTGTCTGCCCTGTGTCCCCTCCCTGGCAAAGGTCTGCCCTTCTTTGGCCAGCTGGGATCAGAACTGTCTCTGTTGTACTATTGATCTAAAATGTGCTGTGGAATTGGGGTTTGGGCCTAATTGTGCCATGCACTGAGCTGCCTGCCTGAGTGTGGATTGTGCGCCCTTGTGAATTCCAGCTGGGGTATTCTGGGAGTCCTGTCTTACCGGGACTGGGAAAAATACCCAAGAGTGCTTTGTGAGGTCCACTTTTGGTCGGACCCCTCCATGAAAGGAGGAAGCCAGCTCTCTCCTCTTTTGCATCCCTATCTGGCTTGCATCTTTAATGCATTGCTTGGATTCACAGAGCATCTTTTCTCCTGCTCCGGTGTGAGGCCAGGGATATTTAAGATAAGCAGCTGAGGAAAAACAGTTTTTTCATGTGACTCTGGGCAAAGCTCTTAGCCTCAGGCGTTCCTGTCCAGCTTTTGTCCCTAAAATGAACGGGGTCGGTGTGATCACTGCTTCCCATCCCCAGACAGCTGGGTCAGGGGGGCTTCTGAGCAACATAGACTCCAGGGCACTCACCCCAGAGTTCTTTTCCATAGGTCTGGGGGTGGGGCTGGGAATGTTTGTTTCTGAAGTTTTCCAGATCATTCCGAATGAAGGGTAGTCAGGTTTGGGAAGCAGCGGCCCAGATGGCTGAGGTCCCGTCAGCCCTAACGTTCTGGGACCCTGCTTGGTCCTCATTTCTCTTTTGTTCTTATGTGATGTCATTATTTCATGGTGGAATTGAAGGCCCCAGAATGTTCTGCTTGGTGGGATAAATGATAACTCTTGAGTTTGCGGTCTGGGTCAGAAGCCCTGAGATGTGCATTCTGGTTATAGTTCTTTCCTGTGTGACCTTGGCAGGTCCTGCCTCTTCCCGGGCCTCAGTTTCTGCATCTGTTAAAGGAGGGGAGGGAGTGGACCATCTCCCTGGGCCAGATGTGCTGGGGTAGGCTAGGGGCAGAGAGGCAGAGGGATGCTGGCCCACTGCTCCGTCGTCCCGCTGTCGGGACCCGTGACAGTGACCCGGTTCTGTCCTGGTGTTGGCCCTGTGGCAGCTGCCGAATGCTGCGGCGGGAGGGCATGGAAGCCTTCGCCTGGTCTGAAGCCTGGGGATGCTGGGGAGGAGCAGACCCCACCTACTGTGTGGGAGGAGCAGAGCAGAGTCTGGAAAGGGGACTATGAGTAAGCGGTCAGTGTCTTTAGCCGTTGAGCTGGGAGGCAGCACCCCAACAGGGAAGCCATAGTAACGTAAAGCTTATTGTCGTCCCTGAGATCAGCCAACCCCGGGGCTCTTCGGCCTCGACCCTCTGAAGTTTGGGGCCAGATACTCGGTTGTGGGGCCAGTCCTGTGCATTGTAGGATGTCCAGCAGCAACCCTTTCTTCTACCCACTGGATGCCGGTGGTACCCCAAAATGTCACCAGACATTGCCAGATGTCCCTAGGGGTTGGCGGGATGGCCGCTGGTAGAGAACCACTGATCTTGCCAGTGCTCTCATTTCACAGAGGGGGCAGTGATTCAAGGATGGGCACGGTCAGCCAGAGGCCTGGGGGCCTAAGTCCCCCAGCTCTTCCCTGGGCAGCCCGCCTGGGTGACCAGTTCACATCTCCGATAGCGGCGGAAAGGGACCCCGGGGGCGGGAAGTGTGCCGGGGGCTCTGCCCTCTGAAATTTCTCCTCCTCCAGCTCCCCGTCCCGTTCCCTCTCCAGGCCAGGCCCTCCCTCCCGCGCAGTGGCCCCAGTGGGCCCCCCTCTCCCGCTCCTGCCACCCTCTTTGGAATTCAAAATCCTCTTAGGAAAATAACTTTTTTCTAAATTCTAAGAAAAAGGGTGAGATTAGGGAGGAAGTGCCGCTTGGCTTAGCTCCCCTTCCTTTAAGTCGTATTTAGGAAGCTACAGGTGAGGTCATGGCAGCTCAAGGCAGATATTGGAATTCAATTAAAGCCAGCGAGTGGGGCCTGTGACCCCCATTTCCAAGGTAATAGCTTCTCGGGCTCCGAGTGAATGCAGCCGGCGCCCTGTCATTAAGCAGGCGGCCGTCTCCTCGCTGCACCTGACAGAGGCTCACCAGGCAGGCATTGCGGACAGCTGAGGCCTGCTTGCGCTGGGGAGCCAGGCCTGACTGCGCTCCGCTGGGGAGGAGTGGGCTGAGCAGGCTGGCCGCCTGAGCTGACTGGGGAAGCTGGGGTGGAGGCGGAGGGGGGTGGTCCTGGCCGCCGCCGGTAAAGGGTGGTGAAGGGAAGGCTGTCCCCCCGCCCCCCGTGGTGTGTTGGGTTTGCCCGTCTGGAGGGAGAAGTAGCCCAGCCTCCTGGTCCGGGACTTAGGAGGGCTTTGGTCGAGGCCCCCCATGCCTCCGAGCTTCAGTGTCTCCAGTTGTGAAAAGATGGAAGGAGGGCTGGGTAAGTTTCGTATGGTGTGCCTGCTTCAGTCTGGTGTTCATGGCTGTCTGGGGCATAGGGTTGAAGGACTCTGAGGTCGTGTCTTGACTCGACAGTTCAGTGTATCTGCTGTGGGCATTTGTCATGGTGTATTTCCTACATGGAGTAGAGTATTTCTAGGGTCTCCTGGAAAGGAAGACTCGGAACCACCATCATGTTGGTGTGAAGGGGCAGATGGGGGGAGCCCAGGCTTGCTGGACCAGCACAACCCCTTTCTGGGGCACTCAGGTATTCCCCCGAGGGAACACGGGCCCAAAGATCTCTCTGTGCCAGCCAGGGCCTGGCAGGGCCCAGTTATTGTAGACCCCGTACTGTGCTAGGCCCTATTTCTTGGAGCCACATTACTAGGAGAGGGATCCTCAGAGGGTCAAGATCCCTGTGCCTGAGGGCCGGGTTTGCCCCTGGAGCAGCATCCAGCGGAAGGCATCCCTAGGCAGATTATAGACCCTGTGAGCTGACCTGGCAACCATTTCCAGAATCCTTTTCCATTGCTCTGTGCTGGCCCAAGGTCATTGAACCTGGTGGATGGAGGGGCTCTTACCCCATTTGCCCGCTGACAGTTTGGTGTACATTCCCTTGGAAATTTATCAGTGGAAGACATGTTATAAAGTGTTGACTTGATTTTTGGTGGGGGGGGGGGTGGTGAGGAGGAGGAAGAGGGAGATTGTAGCTTTTCACAGACGACACGGTATTTTGAAGCCGTACCTGAGGGTTTTGCATTCACTCCAGGATGTAGATGCACAGGATTCACTCCACTGAGTTTTCCACGAGGAAGAAGGTGAAGAGGGCGTGCTTCAGAATACATGAGTTTCAGCCCGGCAGCGTGGTGGGGCGTGGGTGTGCCGGCTCTGCTTGCCTCCCCGAGCCTGTCCTCACCTCCGAAATAGGATGGCAGGGGTTGTTGGGGACTCTAAAAGCTATGACAGAGCGTGCGCCAGGCTGCGGGGCCTACCAGCCATGTGAGGAGGCAGGCCCAGGGAGGGCCCAGGGCTGTTGTCCCCCTCCCGGGAGGGCAGGAAGTATCCATTTTATGCAGTCAGAACTCTGGGCTTCCTGTGGTGGGTGTCCTCAGTGGGTTTGGGCTCTGGAAATGTTTAGACGACGTCACTAAGTTTAACCGAAGTCATGCACCTGAGAAGTGAAGCATTAAGTCAGCCAGCAAAGGCATTACAGCGTGGTGTGTATAATCCAGGTACTCTGTGAGGGAGATCTTCCCCAGCAGCCTCTCCTGTAAGTGGGCCTACCCTCTGAGCCCAGGCCACGGGCACTTGACACACGCGTGGAGGACAGGCACACACTTAGGGGCCCCTGGGCCACTTGCTTTGACATGCTTGTGTTCTGGCATGAAATATGACAGGAGGGATGAGTACTCCTGAGTGGGCTCGGTTCTAGGCACTTAGCCCCTTTGGGGGTTGGCGGTGGAGGGGGTGGGTTGCTGACTCCCTTGTACATCCCAATATTGGAAGGAGTAGAAACTGGAGACGGGCTGCAGCAAAGTGGTGAGCTCCGTCCCTTCTTGGACGGTGGCCTTGATTCCATGTCTCCCCACTTGTCACCCCCCACTCACGTGGCGCCGTATTTCAGTCCATCGTCCTCTGCAGTCAGGGATGGGCCACAGGGGCTAGAAGTGCAGCCCGAGGCCAGCCGTCTTGCGCCCTGCCTGCTTGCGGAGGACAGCAAGGCAGGTGCATGGTTGCCCTCCAGCTCCCCCTGCCCCGCTGGGGAGGAAATTTTGTTTCACTCTGTGTTACAAGCAAGTCTGTGATGAGCAGACCCCACGCCCAGTAAGCGCCAGCAACTGCCCTCGCCCTGCACTTACGTCCTTGCTTCCTGGAGCCCACCAGGCCACTCCTGACTGTGCCTTCAAACCATGCAGAGGACCTCTCAGACCACCTCACAGGTGCTTTTGTACTGGAAGATGAGAAGTATATGGAAATTTCATTTCCTCTGTTGCAAAGAAGACACTGAGGTTGGACATGCTCTGGCAGAAAATCACCCTCCCAGGCTTGGAAGCTCAGCAGCTTTGAAATGCCGCTGTTCTCCAAACGGCCACCATAGCCTTTGTTCCAAGTTCCTGATGCTGGTTCATGGGTTCACGTGTCCAGGAAGCAGGACACACTCCACGGATGCTCCTTGTCCCCATGAACTGTTGTAGCAGTATCTCAGTGGGCCTTGGAGAGGAGAGGAGGCGCGGATCTGGGAGGTGGGTGGTCCCTTTTGGACAGAGCCCCTGTGCTGACTTACTTCCCAACCTCTCCATGTCTACCTTTTGCAACATTATCCCTGATTTACCCAGCAAATGCACACTGAGCAGACAAGCCAGGCACCATTAGAGGTGCTGGGATGGATAACACAAGCTCCCCGTCTTCCTGGAACTCACAAGTTGGCAAGCATCTCATAAAGATGAACGAAATCGTCGTATTCGTGATCCATTCGTGATTTTTGCTGCCGTGAACTGAGCACCTGCTATGCCTTGACATGTAGTATCACGGGTGTGGGCCTTGCCCAGGGGGAAAACGGAAGCCCAGAGAGGTCCACTGACTGCTCTAAGGTCTCATGGCTGATAAAGGGTAGAGCTAGACGTCCATCTTAGCCTGTCTGTCCCCAGTGTCAGAAGGGAGACCTCCGTGCTGACCAGGCTGATGGGGAGGGCTTCCGGAGGAGGAAGCATTTCACTTGGGCAGGGAGCCGAGAAGGTTGGGTATAGAGGGCAGGGCTTACCTGGTAAGGTGAGAATCGGGGTGTTTGGAGTTATTCAGCTGCATCTCTGCCTAGGCAAAAATCTGTAGGAAAGCTCTTTCTTTAGCGACAGAATTGTTCATGGAGGGAGCCAGCCTTGGACCCAGGCAGCTGCTTCCCAGAAGCCCTTCTCCCCCTTCTTGCCGCTCCTTCCAGGGATCTCACCTGGCTGTGCCCTGTAAAAAAGTGGATTAAATACCTCACTCATTGCTCTCTGGGATTTTACTAAATAGTTAACACTGGCAAAATGAAAAGGGCCTGCCAGCAACTGGTCTAAAACCACGGGGCTGCTGATGGAGACCCATTTTAAGACCGGGAGTGTAGATACAGTTGGATGGTTGGCCCACCCCGAGGAATGATGGGCAGGCGTTGGAAAGGATGTGATGATTGGTACAGAACAGTCTTCAGTTAAAATCCAGTTGTGTTGTAGTAGTAGTAGTAGTAGTAGTAGTAGTAGTAGTAGTAGTAGTGAGGTTGGCAAGAGACTGTTGATTTAGGAATACAGTTACAGTGTGTAGCTTTTTATAAAGGAAAATTCTAGAGAGAGGAATAGTGGAATCTTCTAGGGAGTGGGATTGAAGGGTAATTTTTAAAGAACAACTTTTTAATCCATACTTATTTTTCATATCTTCTGACCACATATATTTTTTTTCTTGTAATAAGACCTAAGAATTATAATTTCTTTGAAAAGAAAGGTTAGGGGAGGTCAGATGTAAGCTTCTGTGTCCCAAGAAGCGCCTGAGTCTCTGGGGCAGGCTGGGGTGGGTCTCTGCATGGGGTCCCCTGCCCTGGCTTTGTTTCTGCTCCGGTACCTCAGGGCAGATCTGGAGTCAGGCTGCACTAGCAGCTTCCATAAATCATCCAACAGTGGATGTCCCAGCTCTGAGTGATGGACACTGGTCCCAGCCTTTGACCCAGAGCTGCGAAAAAAGCCCTTGGGGACCAGGAGTGTGGTGGTGTCTGTGGTTACCAGTAACTTCCATATGAGCCAGGTTTGCCATTTGCAGGTCGTTGGGGGAGAGCAAGGCCCTCACCCCCTGATTGCAAACACTTCCTGCCTCTTAGAGCCTCACCTCCAACCAGAACTTCCCCCTGTGTTCTGTTGTCTGCCAGTGTGGCCCGAAAGCCAAGTCTATATCGACAGGCAAGCTTGTCAGATTTTTACTCTTTGTCACCCCCGCAGCTCTTCTTGCTTTTGCGGGGGGCGGGGGGAAGTCTCCTTAGGAACACTGGGTAAGATTGGTGGTTGACAAGATTTGAGTCCAGGTCTCACCCGCTAGTGGTTGGACCTGGCTAGTAACTGGCTGCCCATTCCAGCCCCCTAAGTGTCAGTTTGCCATCTGTAAAGTGGGCACAAGCCCTCCTTTCCCCCTCCCAGGCTGGAAGCGTCAGAATATTTGGAAAGTGCTGCGCATTCACTCAGGCATTCAGTGAATTTTGGTCCCCTTCTCCTGTGCTCGTGGAGAAAATATTGGCATGTGTGGCAATCAGCATATCCAAGGCCCCAGCCATTCCTCAGGGGTGTTTGGCCGCGGTGTAGCCCGCCCCACAATTCCTGTGGTTCTTGGTGCAAAGTTAGGAATGATGAGATAAAGGGCGTTTTGTAGCGGCTGCTGGGCAGAGGACCAGGCTGCCCACGCCAGCCCCTGGGGTGTGGGATGTGGAGGGGGAGAGAATACCCTGGGGCTAGTCTGGGTGGGGGTCCCTGGGGCCTCAGGGAGCCACGGAAGTTTGGAGCAGAAACCTCGACTGGGGATTGTTCATACTGTTACCTTAATGTGGGTGTAGATTTTAGAACAACGGGGTGGGGGGAGGGCGCATTGTAAGCCCTCTGGTAAATGTGAGCGATTGTTGTGAGATCACTTAATGAGTGACCTGCCTGAGGTCACACAGCTAGGAAGTACCAGAGTCGGGATTTGAATCCTGGTCCGTCAAGTGCCAAACCTCCACTCTTGTCACTCTGATCTCCGCTCTGATGTCCACCGACATCAGCTCTCGTTTCACTGGCCCCCAAGCTCCCCTTGATCTCAGGGATTTTCTTCTGTGGCCTGGCCCTGGCTCAGCCAGCCAGCCTGGAGTTCCTGAGAATTCGGGAGGCTTCCCAGGATACGGGCGCAGGGTGGGAGCCCCTGGCTGCGAATGTTGGAAGGCATGCAAGCATGAGCAAGTGTGACTGCTCGCTTAAAAATGGATCCCCCTTAACAGAGAGGGAGCCCTGATGATTCTTTGGTTCTTAAATGCATGCTTCATTTATCTCGGGCTTGGAAATGTACACTGAAGAATTCTGTCCTGAAACTGGGGTGGGGGAAAGGGTGGAGAGTTTGAAGACAAAAGGCTTGTGCCTAAATTGCCGTCGGTTAACAGACTTGCTTCAGCCAGACAGCATGTGGACTGAGCTGGGGGTACAGGGTTTGGGGGCATCCCCCAGCGGCCTCCCCCGCCATCCCCGCTCAGCTGTGCTCACCACCCACTTCATTGCAGCAACAGCAGCTCCAGGCCCAGCACCTCTCCCACGCCACGCACGGCCCCCCGGTCCAGTTGCCACCCCACCCGTCAGGCCTGCAGCCCCCAGGGATCCCCCCGGTGACGGGGAGCAGCGCCGGGCTCTTGGCACTTGGCGCCCTGGGCAGCCAGGCCCACCTGACGGTGAAGGACGAGAAGAACCACCATGAGCTGGACCACAGAGGTGCGGCCCAGAGCTGGGGCAGAGGGCAGGGCTGGGCTGGGGGTGGAGGCCGGGGGGCGTGTCCTGTAGGTCCTACCGTAAGGAGACACAGCAAATGTTGTCACCCTGGGGCCAGGAGTTAGCAAAAGATGTGGTGCTATCTGTCGAATTCCTGGTACATGGAAATCGGAGCCCCACTCCCCCCGTTTCATGACTACCCCTCAATCCCTGCTATGTACCGGGTGTTCTCTGGCCCGGAAGACCTCGTGCGTCCTCCCATGCTCCCAGCTACATGCTGCCCATCCTTAAAGGGCCAGCCCAGGCCCATTCCTTCAAGATGCCTTCCAGTCCGTGCTGGGGACCTTTTTCCAATTCCCAGGAGAGTTGAAGAGCCGGGGTCCCAAGAATGAGCCCTAGGTTGCTGTCCTCTTGTAGCCTGCCCCTCAAGAATGTCTTGTCCTCACCAAGATCATTAGTCCTTCAAGAACAGGGGCCATGTTCCTGGCTTTAAACTTAGCAGATGTGTCTCACCGGCGCAGGTGCCTTGGAAAAGGTACACAGTTGACGCTCAAGTAAAGACTTGCGAGTCGACTGTCTTCTTTAAGCAGAGGTAGCGATCACTCTGCTGCACAGAGATGATCAGGAATACTTGGAATGAGAACCCCCGCCCCCTCCACCGGGCCCTTACCGTGAGGACCCTGGAAGCTGCACTCACTAGGGCCCAAGAGGGCGTGGTTTGTCGGGGAAGGAAAATTCATGGCTCCCGGGCAGGCCCTTTCCAAAAGTTGCCACCTCGTGTGGTGTCTGCCCTTAGACATTTTTATCCCCGTTTTATTGAGATAGAATTGACATACAAAATTGTGGAAGTTGAAGGTGTACACCATCGTTTGTCTGGCCTTTGGCTGTTGACCAGGGTATCCGGCCCAGGCCAGGGCGCTGGGGCGGTAGTGGAGTGTGGGAAGCAGAGACTGAGTTGCTTGTCCCTGCAGAGGGCTGGTGCACTTGGCAGAGGAGAGGTATCCTCACAGCCGAGAGGAGAATCAGGGAGCTAGTGCTCAGCTGCTGTGCAGAATGACCGGGCTTCTCCGCAAAGACGCACAGAATGGTGTTAGTTAAAAAAACAACAAAACCCACTCCCTCAGTTCCTTTTAAAAACAACATGCTCAATACCCAGATCCTTTGCAAGCTGGTGGCTTTAAAAAGTGTTGACCAGGGATCTGGGTGCCCGGCAGAGCAGGGCCACAGCCGCCCCCCCACCACATGCGGGACTGGTGGCCAGGGGGAGTGTGGGGGACTGGGGCGGTTAATTTGCAGGAGTGAGAAATATCACCTAATGGCCCTGCCTTGGCTGACCCCCAGTGACTCAGAGAGCTAGGCCTGTTGCCCATGTTAAAACCCGTCCACTAGCAAAGCATAAAAGCCAGCTGTGTGAGACTGACCTTTTTCCTTTTTTTTTTTTTTTTTTTTTTTTTGTCTTTTTCTCTTGGGGGGCCTGACCCTCCTCCTGTCCGGGCCTTCCGTCCCCAAAGAAAGAGAATCCAGCGCGGTAAGTGTCAGCACTCTGGAGCATGTGGAGTGTGTTTGGGGTGCTGGGGGGGGAGCAGGTGGGATCCTGGGGTGGGGGGGAATCTCTCCAGGCTTTCTGTCCATCATTTGGCAAACGAGTAGCTTTAAGTGAGCTCTAACTCTCTTTTTTATGAGTGGTGATTAACCAGAGAGGTCAGCTGGCCAGTCTGGAGTCGCCGAGCCTCCACGAGCAGCCTGGGGGTCCTGTGCCCTGGGCGGGTTCACTTCCCTCCTCCCAAGTTGGCTGCCCCGTGTCTGATCCTGTATGCTCCTCCCTTCCTCCGCACGCCCAAGGTTTCTCCGTGTTCTGGGCTTAAGCTCGGTTTAAGAAAGTGCTAGCGAGCAAGCATTAAGGCCAGGCATTCTGCATGTCTGCCAGCTCTGAGATTTGTTGTAAATCTTTCTGATCACACTGAAGCTCAGAGGTTCTGTTTCAAGTGAATAAGCCTTCTGAATAAGTGCAGTGGAGTCTGGATAAAAACAATCCTCCAGTGATTACCAAAGCTATTTTATTCCTCATCGCTGTCCTTGTATCTGGGGCCATCTCATCTGTGAGGATGGCTTTGGTTATTACCTCGTGTTAAGTAGGACTTGGAAGGTCAGGCAGTTAACTAACCATCTAGACAGCAGGCTTCCTCGGGCAGCTCCATCCCGACCCCCTTCCCTCCCAGCCCTCCACCAGGCTGATCCCAATTAGCAATAGTGCTCTCGTCCCCTCTCGACTTGCCGACGTGCTCAGAAATCCAGGTGCACGTTTGGGTCCAGCAATGGCTTGGTATATCAGAAAGGAAAGACTGAAGCTGAAAATCCATTTTGATTGCCTGAGCGTTGATCCTCAGAAGGTGGCGTTTTTGGAGAGGTGGTAGGCCTGGATAGGAGTGGGGGGTGGACTGGACCCCTCCAGGCCTGGGTCTGGTCCTGGCTTCATGGGACGCCGGGTGGCTCTCTTGGCCTCTTTAAGCCTCAGTTTCTGTATCTGTGCCACGGGCATATTCCTGCCCAGCCAAGCCTCCCCGCTTAGTCAGGAAGCCCCCTCACAAGAGCACCCAGCATCCGGGAGGTGACCCGGTTAACAAGGACCCGCTGCCGAGTGACACGAGGGTTTGACGCCCGATGCCCTCTGTCTTCACATCGTCCCCCTCCCCATTGCTGTTTGCATTTGGCTTTGTGCCCCAGTCTGTGAAAGCTTTCTGCTAAAAGAATCCCCCGGAGAATGCCCCAAGAGCTGAGCTCCTCACGCCACAGTGCTGGTCCACACCCGTGCACGGCAGACTCTGGGGAGTCCGGTGGGGAAGGGTCAAGCCGCCATCCGTCCTGGGCCGGTGTGGGCACGGCAGCAGGGCTTGTCCGCCTGTGGCCGTGGCGGCCGAGGCCGTGCAACCTGCAGCGAGCAGCCCTTTGCAAACCAGGTTGTCAGCAGATGAGGCCCCCGCAGGAAGGACAGGGCCGTGGACGAGCAGGAGGGGGACGGCTGCACGGGCTGGAAGCTGTCCCAGAGGGGTTAGTCTGGAGTCCAATTAGAGGTAGCTTCATTCATATTTCCTTGCCTCGCCGAAGCAATAAAAAATACTTAGTTTTTTGGCTGCCTGCCAGCCAGAGGCGGGCTGGATCGATGCCGCTAAATGCCTGACATGACTCTCTCCAGTAGCAGCGAGGGTTTTCAGCCTGACTGCAGGAGAAGAAAGAGCTCGCTGTTCTCCGAGCCACGTACCGGGTCGCAAGGAGAAACCTGAGCAGCCGCGCCCCCCCTCCCCCCTGCCCCGCTCCCCACCCGCCCGCCCGGGAGGAGAGGGCCTGGGAGCCTCACTGCTTAGCGCGGGGTGGCCGCCATCGGAGGAAATGAAATGCCACTGATTTTTCTGCGGGCGCTCGCAGCGGCTAATTGAATTGCGGCTGTGTGCGCCTTGCCGCCGCTCCCGCACGGCTGTGGGCAAGGCTGAGCTGCACTTCCATTAGAACCTCCATTTTTTCTTCAAGGCTTGATAACTCTGCCATTTTAATTTGCTTCAGGCAGAAACTTGGCAGGGAAGGGCTGCCCAGAAACCAGCTTAGGAAAGGAAATGAAGTTCTGTGGTTTCCACACTGTCCTCCCCTCCCGCCCCCCCCAATGCCCGGGACTGGTCTCCAAGAAAGTGGGGGAGACGTGAAGTGGAGGCTCATTCCTCCCTCCCACCTCCCCGCCTTTCGATGTCCTTCTCTGCCCACGGCCCTCCGTGTCCCCGCGTGGCTGCGTCCTGCACGTCCACACTGCCTGGGGATGTGGCTGGACTGGACTTCCCCTGCCCTGCAGTCCGACTGCGCCCTGGGAGAGCAGGGGCTGTGTCTGGCTCCTTCCCGTATCCCTGGCACCCAGCCCCGGGCCTGATCTAGGGTGGGTGCTCAGGAAAGGCGGGGGGGTGAGTGGTGAGTGATGAAGGAAGGTGTAGTTTGGTCCCTTAGAAAGGAGTAGACCTCAGCAGCCCCCTAGAGGGGCGCGCCGGTTCTGATACTCTCCCGGCCCCAGCCTGGAGGGCACAGGTTTGCTGGCAGGTGCCACTGTAGGTAGCTCCTCCCTCCCTGCTCCCTAGCCCGGTGCTGCCAGCCACACCGCGGGGGCCGTTCCTGGCCACCGCTAGCGCCCCGAGTCAGCCGGACCCCTTCCTCTGTGGGATGCTCTCCGCCTGCCCGTGCTGTTCCAGCTTGGTCTACTGGCCCGGCCCCGCTCTTCCCAGGCCTTGCATTTCAAACTGTTGCTGGGCTTGCTTGCTTTGGAGTTTGAAGGGAGAATTCATTAGGCCCTTCCAGGCCTGAGCAGCTCGGGTTTCCTTCACGTTGCCTCCAGTGGGGTGCCTTGGGCAAGTCTCCCAACCTCTCGGGGCCCCTGCATTCCCATCGTTACAAAGAGAACGATTTCACCTGCCCTTGTGCCTTTTCCCACCTTGCGGAGGGAAAGGCTTCATGAAGTCGCAGTTCTTGTTTCTTTCTAACACTGCTGTTTCTCTGAAGTGCTTGAGACCTGGCGATGGAGTAGTAGGACGTTCATACAAAATGCCAACTTGCCCACCTCCACGTAGAAGGCCTATTGGCAACGCGACGTCCTTCCTCCCTGTCAGTCTCTCCATTCCAGTCGGGGTCAGCAGATGAAGTATTGGACGTGGCCCCTGTGTGTCCTCTGAGACCCATCTTTCACGACTCAGTGCAAATTTTGCATATCCCTTCTTTGAGCAAATGTACATGGCTGGCCCAAGGTGGGTGGTGAAGGAGGGGTGGCCCTCCTAGAACATAAGGTCCCACGGGCCAGAAAGCAGAGAGCTCAGCACAAGCCTATTTACTTAATAGCAGCGTCGTGGCTACAAAAGTGAATTGTGCTCCCAGGGCTCCCCTGCAGGGAGTCTGGATTGCTGCGAAGGCTTCCCTGGTAAGGCTCTGGTGGAGTGGAGGGTTGCAGGACACACACAACACCTCTTCTGACTTCTTGAGACCCCTGCGTTTAGCTTACGTCTCGGTGTGCAGGGAATGTTCACACTGGATCTCCCTTCTGGTTTCCAGAATAACTCCGTGTCGCCCTCTGAAAGCCTCCGGGCCAGTGAGAAGCACCGGGGCTCTGCAGACTATAGCATGGAAGCCAAGAAGCGGAAGGCAGAGGAGAAAGATAGTCTGAGCCGATACGTACGTGTGCTGGGCAGCACGGGGTCGGTGGTGGGGTCTGGGGTGTGGGAGAACCCACAGGCCCGACTCGTGGGTGAGTCAGAGGCACGGGCGGGGGCGGGCTGGGGTTCCTGGCCGGGGCGGCAGGGGCAGCGCAGGTTCATACACACACGCTGTGAGCACATGGGCCCCAGCCAGGACGGGGAGTGGCTGAGAACTGTGGGTGCCCCCCCCCCACAGGCCAGGGGGCCCCATGCTGCCATCACAGCCCTCCCAGAATCCCCGATCTGCTCCAGGGGGCTGTCCCCCACGCCCCCACACTTTGAGCCTACCGTGTGGTCACGGTATTGCTGTGGGCCAGGCTGTTCGGATGAGAGCTGAGAGCCAGGGAAGGGGGCCATGCTTTGCTGCTTGCAGTTCTGTACGTGTCACCCAAGTGCCTCAGCTGCATTTCTGGGAGACGAGGCGATCACCCCTCCCACACAGAGTGGCGGAAGCGATGGCGTGAGGCTAGCACTCTTCCTCGACTGTGATGGTGGCTATGAAGCCGCTGGAAGGAGCCAAGTGTGATGGGGCAGGTGTGGGTGAGGCTGCCAGTGGGCATGGAGCGCAGTGACCCGGAACAGGGCTAGGGGGCTGGGCGAGCGGACAGCCAACGTCGGTGCGCCAGAGGGGAGAGCGCGTGGACTGTGGGGTTTGGCCCTGGGTTCAGATTCCAGCTGGTGGAAGCAGGGGGTGCTTCAGGCTTGGTCTGGGGGTGTGGTGGGGGTGGCCCCCTGACTGGCTTCTCTCTCTCGGTTGCAGGACAGTGACGGGGACAAAAGTGACGATCTGGTGGTGGATGTTTCCAATGAGGTGAGCTCGGACAGGCCCAGGTTGCAGCGTGCTCGGTTTGGGGGGGGTTTGAGGCGGCTCCTCCCTTGGCTGGGAGCTGTTGTGTCCCAGCTACTGCTCCATCCAACGTGGCTGGCAGCCAGAGCAGGGCAGCGAGGCATTCGGCTGGTCAGGAGGAGGAGAACAGGGCTTGGCTGCATGGTGGTTGGGGTTGCTAGGGCGGGAGCCCATGGGAGAGAACGCAGGCGTACCCCAGAGATCCCGGGCAAGGGCCAGCTCCTGTTCCCTCTGGTCCTCCGGGTCAGCTCTGTTCTCCCCACCACCTCGCAGCATCTTGAGGGTAGGGGTCGTGAGCCCTTGGGATCCGCCTCAGCAGGGAGGGAGGACCTGGAGCTGCATGAGGCCAAGAGGCCCCACTGCCCAGATTTGAGTCTTGAACTTGTGTCTGATCCTGGGCTGGTCACCATCCCCCACCCCTGCCAGGCCCCAGTCTCCCCATCTGTGGGATGAAGGGGTGAGACGAGATCATTGGGAACTAGTCGCCCCTGACTTTGTGGCCCCAGGTCCTCTCCCCGTCAGCTGTGTGCACTCCCGGCCTGTTCCCAGCGCAGGGAAGACTCCAGGCTGGTTGTTGCTGTCAGTGCATCTCTGCATCCCTTGTGTTTTTAGGACCCAGCGACGCCCCGGGTCAGCCCTGCACACTCCCCTCCTGAAAATGGGCTGGACAAGGCCCGCGGCCTGAAAAAGGATGCCCCCACCAGCCCCGCCTCAGTAGCCTCCTCCAGCAGCACACCTTCCTCCAAGACCAAAGACCTTGGTCATGTATGTGGGGTCTGCCACTGATGCCACAGAAGTGGAGGTCTGGGGCGGGGGGGGTGGGGTGGAGGGAGAAGGTTCTGGAAAAGGTACAAGCTGGAGTGGTCATAACTGGAGGGTAGAGGGGTGGTTTACAAAGAACATAGATTGGGGTTTGGCCCCAGTTGAAATACTGGCTTTCCCACTTACTGGCTGGCTAGGCCCTGTGCTACCAGTTAATGTTTCCGAGCCTTGGTTACTGCATCCATAAAATGGGAACGATCACCACTGTCCCTGACAAATAAGGTTGGCAAGAATTGAGGGGCCGTGGGGCAGGAGATTCAGAACTGGAGCCGGTACTGGGTGTTGTGGCCCCAAGTGCCCAGCTCTCGAAAGAAAGGAATCTTCATGTCTTCCCTGTTCAGAACGACAAATCCTCCACCCCTGGGCTCAAGTCCAACACACCTACTCCGAGGAACGATGCCCCGACTCCAGGCACCAGCACGACCCCAGGGCTCCGGTCGCTGCCGGGCAAACCCCCTGGCATGGACCCAATAGGTATAATGGGTAGGCACGGCGCTGGGGTGATGGCGCTGGAGGGTGGGGTCTGCCCCGGGCCCGGGCTGAGGCTGCACAGCTAGGCCAGAGCCCTAGGAAGTATGTGGGGGTTGGGGCTGTCCCAGGGCCTGCCTCCGGGGGCACTCCATGGTCAGGTTTGAGGAGGACGTGGACACCTGATGTGTCAGAACTGATGGCAAGGGCTTACTGGGGCCGCTGTTGGGACTCGGTGTGTGGAAGGAGCTCCAGACAGGTTGTCCCCATGTGTGTCATCAGTTCCTTGAGACTCCCAGCAACCCCCTTCTGGGCCTCCGTGTCCTGCTGCGTAAAAAGAGGTGGGCATATCTCTCAGCTTGAACCTTCTTGGACCGCGAAGACCAGGATCCCAGTTAGATGGGCTCAGTCCAAGAGGGCTGCCTGGACCAGGCAGCTTTCGAGTGCAGGAAAGATTGCTGCTGGGCTGGGAGGCATCCTGGTGGGGCCTGAGCTTTGTCCTGGAAGGAGGGGTGGGCCCACTCCCCCTGAGGGTCTCCCCTGGCTGACGCCCGCCTCCTTGCAGCTTCGGCCTTGCGCACGCCCATCTCCATCACCAGCTCCTACGCGGCCCCCTTCGCCATGATGAGCCACCACGAGATGAACGGCTCGCTCACCAGCCCGAGCGCCTACGCCGGCTTGCACAACATCCCACCACAGATGAGTGCGGCCGCCGCTGCGGCCGCCGCCGCCTACGGCCGATCGCCAATGGTGAGCTTTGGAGCTGTACGTAGACCTTTTGGCTCCTTTTGGGGGAATTGGGCAAGGAGTGGGGAGTTGGTGGGGGTTGTCAGGCAGCTGCCTCTGGGGCAGAGTGTTTATTAGAAAAAGAATGGGACAGAGGCTTTGGGGTCAGCAGACCTGGGCCCTACCCCCACTTGACCTGTTAGTCGTCATGTGACCTCATACAACTCAGCACCCCCCACCCCCGCCACCACCCAGGCCGTCTTTTTCCATCTGGAAAGTGGGGCTGCTCTCTCTTTTTCTGGGCTGTGTGGGGATGGGAATCCCAAAAGCTGTCCAGTGACTTCCACGTAGCCTGGGTTTGGTAAATGAGGCTGCTTGCTGTACCGAGAATGAGTTCAGATTTGGGTCGGCAGAGAGGGGTTCTTTCTCAGGAGACGGTGTCTCTCCTGGGTGGCTTCCTCTCTCTGAGATGACGGGCCCACTGGACACCAGGGAGGAGAATGAAGTGGGGCCGGATCAGCTCTGCCTGGTGGAGCAGGGGGAGCTGGGGGTGTGGGGCTCGAGAATACTGGCTCAGAGTTGGTGGGTCTGGACTGTCAGGCTGTCCCTCCCACTGTCCCGGGCAAGACACCTGGCCTGCTGGGCCTGTTTTACCTCTGGGACAGCTGGCTCTGCTCTGTCTTCCGGGTTTTGAAGAGGCAGCGCTGTGGGCAGGACCTAGGAAGTGGGGAAGGAAGAGGCTGGGGCGCGGGCTGCGTGGTGGCCTCCCTCACTAAGGGCTGGCCTGGTCTTGCCTTACAGGTTGGTTTTGACCCTCACCCTCCCATGCGGGCCACCGGCCTGCCCTCAAGCCTCGCCTCCATTCCTGGTGGGAAACCGTAAGTTCTGGCTGTGCTTACTGCATGCTAGCTGGGGAAAGCGTACAACCCCCTAACCCCTCTGCCCAGCCCTGGTCGACCTCCCCTCGAGAAGATGTCCGCCCTCTAGAGGTACTCACAGGCCAGGTTGTAGCTGCGGGACACGGCTGCCTGGCCCCACTTCTGACCGGCCCTGGGGCTCCCGCTGAGTGGGGAACTGGGGATGGGGAACACCGCAGTTGATGGGGCCTCCATTTCCAAATGACGTGAGCGGCCCTGGCCTCAGGAGCTCCGCTGGGTTGGAGCTGCTGGAAGCACCCCCAGCCTAGAAAGCAGGTAGACGGTGCTGGCTCACCCCTGGCTCCGATGTGCACGCCATGATTCCTCCTGGGCGGGACACACACACACACACACCCCTCTTTCCCTCCCTCTTACCCCGGGGCTTATAAAGGAGGAGGTAACCTTTCCACGGGGATTTATAGATGGTAGGAAAGGGCATTCCAAGGCCCATGTGGGGCTAGTGACACGATCTGGAGCCAAGGGTGTATGGGAGCAGGAGCAGAAGTCAAGGCTGGGATGTTAAGCAGTCCCCTACCCTGGTAGAACCAGGCCAGGGAGGTTGGCGTGACTGGGTTCCCTAAGATTTGGGGCGTGGGGCCCAGACGTGGGCCAGTCGGGGTGGTGCCGTCTGACGTGGGAGGACTCGTGGGAACTGAAAGGATTGGGGATGACGGAGGGGTTGGTTCTCCCTTTCAGAGCGTACTCTTTCCACGTGAGTGCTGATGGGCAGATGCAGCCCGTGCCCTTCCCCCACGACGCCCTGGCAGGCCCCGGCATCCCACGCCATGCCCGGCAGATCAACACGCTGAGCCACGGGGAGGTGGTGTGCGCCGTGACCATCAGCAACCCCACGCGGCACGTCTATACAGGTGGCAAGGGCTGCGTGAAGATCTGGGACATCAGCCAGCCGGGCAGCAAGAGCCCCATCTCCCAGCTGGACTGCCTGGTGAGGCCCCAGGACCTCAGGCATCTCCTCTAGCCAGCGGAGGGGCAGCCTGGCTGGGCATCCGAGCAGGCTGGCTGACCCCTGGGCCCTGGGTTTACTTACCATCCTTAAGTGGAGATAGCGAGCTTCCCGGGGTTTGTGAAGAGATGCCCGAAAGATCGAAGGGTTGTGGATGAGGGAGGGGAGGGCCTGGCAGCTGCCGGGAGCGAGGGCGGGATGTGAGCAAGCAGGGGTGGCGAGGGTGGCAAGGGCACTTGGTGTTGCCGGATGCGATTCTTCTGGTCCCTGGGAGGAGGGGCGGGCAGAGCTCCACGTTGCCCCTTCTCCCTCCAGAACAGGGACAATTACATCCGCTCCTGCAAGCTGCTCCCTGACGGGCGCACGCTCATCGTGGGCGGCGAGGCCAGCACGCTCACCATCTGGGACCTGGCCTCGCCCACACCCCGCATCAAGGCCGAGCTGACGTCCTCGGCTCCTGCCTGCTACGCCCTGGCCATCAGCCCCGACGCCAAAGTCTGCTTCTCCTGCTGCAGCGACGGTAACATTGCCGTGTGGGACCTGCACAACCAGACCCTGGTCAGGTGAGGCTGTGTGAGGGAACAGGGGAGCCTCGTTCTCGGCAAGGTCACGCTGGTTGTAACGGGGACCCGTCCGGGGTGCTTCTGGCTGTGGGGTGGCCGCATCAGAGTGGGCGAGGACCCCCGGGTGAGGAGACAGCCAGGCCTGACCTGTGCGAGGGGGCAGCCGTGGGTCAGGTGCTCGGCGTGGGCAGGGGACGGAGGGCTCCCCTGCAGAAGGCTCCAGGGGGAGGGGGGCGTGGAATTCAGAGCATCGGAGACAGCAGAGGGGGAGAACTGAGGAAGGAGGGCGTCGGGACCGGAAGGTCGGGGGCAGTGTCACTTGGTGGTTGTCGTGGGGACTCGGGAGCCGTGGCCCCATGGGAATCCTACCCCCATTATGACCCTGTGCTGGTCACTCAGCTCCCATGTCTCCGTGACCCCGGTGTGAAGTGGGCATGGTGAAGGCGGTGCAGGGTGGCGTGCCCGCCCCAGAATCGGCTGTCGGGTGCACAGCGGCTGTCCTCACTGGTCATAGGGGCCTCCAGCTGCATATGGCCTCAGCCCCATAGCCCAGCAGGGGGAGGAGACCTGCCCGCGGCGGAGATTCTGGAGTGGGCCGGGAGGAGGCCCGGCTCTGCTGCGAGCTCACCAGGGGACTGCGGGTGCATGGGCCACCCCCTTCTGGGCCTCTGTTTCCTCTTCTGCTCAGACACAGCTGGCCTCGGCACTCCGTGGTTCTGGAGGGCTCACCCCCTTTCCCTGCTTGGCCTTCGCAGGCAGTTCCAGGGCCACACGGATGGGGCCAGCTGCATAGACATCTCCCACGATGGCACCAAGCTGTGGACTGGAGGCCTGGACAACACCGTGCGTTCCTGGGATCTGCGAGAGGGTCGGCAGCTGCAGCAGCATGATTTCACTTCCCAGGTGTGTGCGCTCCTCCCGTCCCCCAGGCCAGCGTGTGCCCTTCCCTTCTGGGGTCCCACTGGCTGGGTCAGGGGACAAGGGGGCCCTCACAGGTGGTCATTGCAAGTGGACCTCTGACCAACCTGAGCCCCCTTGGAAGGCTTCCTGGAGGAGGCAGCAATAGAATAGAATCGACAAGGCCCTGGAGTGGGGTGTACTTGACCCAGCTGTTCAGAACTGATTCTCAGCTCCTCTACTGTTGGACGCTTTGGCCCCGGTGTTTTTCCCCCCTCGTGGGATGGGCACAGTAGTAGCTACCTCGCAGGTCTGGTGTGAGCACCTGAAAGGGTCCCATTAAAGCCCTAGCGATAGCCTGGTTCATAGAAGGTACTCCGTTACTGTTAGGTAGCCTTATCTTCCATTGTTGTTTGTGTTATTTAAATATTTCAACTATATATTTAATATTTCAGTGTTTTATTCACTTTTTTTCTTAAGGAAAGGAAAAAGTCACAGGGAAACTTGTGTAACTTGGAAAGTGAAATGCCTCTTTCATCTCGGAGTTGGGATGCTGGCTCTATACCACTTACTTTCTAGAGTCAGCAGCCTCTCTGAGCCTCTACTTCCTCACCCCTACAAGGCATTCCAGGGCTGAGGGAGAGGAGAGGGGCTTTGCCTTGCAGATGGCATGTGGGGACGTGATGGGAGCGGGAGCGGTGGGCCCCTGCCCTCGGGGTCCCTGAGCAGGGCCTTTGAGGAGCCCCTGGGGCCCTGGGGGGAAGGGTCGGGGGGACAGAGGAGCTGAGCCCGGTCTGCCGCCCCCTGCAGATCTTCTCGCTGGGCTACTGCCCCACCGGGGAGTGGCTGGCTGTGGGCATGGAGAGCAGCAACGTGGAGGTCCTACACCACACCAAGCCGGACAAGTACCAGCTGCACCTGCATGAGAGCTGCGTGCTCTCCCTCAAGTTCGCCTACTGCGGTGAGCCTCGGGGGGGCCGGGAGCCGGGGCAGCCCCGCCTGCCCTCTGCACGGATGAGGGGCCCAAAGCTTGAGAGCAAGGCAGAGCCCGCACGCCAGCCACATCTTGGAATCCGGCCTCCCGATCCCGACTGCTGTCTCCCCTGCTCCCCCCCATCCTTATTCCTTGGATGCGGCTACGGCCACAGGGTACCAAGCATGCACAGCAGCCGGCCAGAGCCAGCCCTCGTGGGCCTGAGGCAGGGAAACAGCACTCTCAGCCTTGGGGCCGTTCCTCTGCTGGCTGAGACCGCGGGCTGTGATGGCTGACAGCCCCGGGTTGGATCTGCTTCTCCCCGGACTGGCTGCGCAGCCTTGGCCACCCCTCATCCTCTCTGCACGCGGGGGGGGGGGGTCTTTCTCTGGGAGTGGCCCGGGGCCCCCCCACGCGGCTTTGGAGAGCAATAGCACGTGAGCCCGGGCTGAGCCCTGGCAGAGCGGCCTGCGAGTCAGAGCACTCGCCGGTCACCGGCTGCGGCTGGCTGTGTCTCCAGACCTCAGGGCTCTGCCATTTCTAGCACTTTCTGCCACCTTCTAGTCATAAAACTGAGAAGGGTCACTCCACTGATAAGCTTTAAAAAGAATCTTTTGCGGAAGTGTCACGTCTGTGATTTATTGCAAATCCCACCGTTCTCCATCCCGTCGGCACCCACCCCTCCTCCGTGATTGCAGGGAGGCGTTCTGGGCGAGGGGCCCCGGGGGGGGGAGCGGTCTGTGAGTCGGATACGGGTCTCGCTTATGAAATGCCCCTCACCAGCCGAGCCTCTTAACTAAGCGCTGGCTGGCAGTTCACACCACGTCTCCATGGCAGCCGGCCATGTCTGGGGTGGGTCTCGCTTTCCAGGGCAGCCAGCCACGAGCTGACGCTCCTTTGCCTCCCACCTGCAGGCAAGTGGTTCGTGAGCACTGGGAAAGACAATCTCCTCAACGCCTGGAGGACGCCGTATGGAGCCAGCATATTCCAGGTACTGCCCACCACCCGGCCGCTGCCCCGGGTTGGGGCCTGCCCCTGGGGATGGGGATGGGGGTGGGGATGGCCCCTTCCAGCCCCTACGTGCTGGGGCTCCAGGGTGGGTTCCCCAGAGCAAAGGCCTGGGACACATCAGCGGGACACACATTGCAGCTGGTGGTGTCTGACCCATAGGGTGAGGGCTTTTAAGTGGGGGTTCTTGTGGTATTTCTAGAACAAGGGGGAAGTTAAGTCATGCTCTTGGCTCTGGCCTGTGGCCTGAGCACTTCCAGGAGGTGCCCTGGGCAGCTCTTTTCAGAGCAGTGTTCCCTGATGTTCAAGTAAGTTTGTGTTTCATCTCGACACCTCGGTGTAAGGAGTGAGAGAGGGTCTGGAAAGAGATGGGAGAGCGGGAAGAGGCTTTTCGTGATTTTTCAAGATCTGGGTTCACTTACGCATGGTCTTGACTGCACGCACGCATGCACAGTATGCTCCTGTGCTCCGAGCCGACAAGCCTCTTTTGGGATCCGTGCTGGGAGTGTGTGGCGTCCAGCATGTCACACGTGTAACCCTCGTTACACTGGACACTTTGGGCCAGACGGAGGTCCCCTTCCTGGCTCCAGCCCGCTGACGCCCACGCCCGCTCAGAGGTGCTCCTTCCTGTCGGTAGACCGAGGAGAAGCTCAACCTCCAGTGCTCTCTTTCGAGCCATACAACTCCACGATCACCCCGGGCCCTGGTCATGAGCCTTTCCCGGTGGAAAAGCCGAAGGACGGGGCATCTGTTCCCGAAAGTGCCTCTCTAGGCTGCTTTGGGGGAGGCCGTGCTGCGGGCGCCTGGGGTTGGAGCTCCGGGGCTGGCAGACGGGGTGTGACGCAGACAGCGCGGAAATCGCGCTGAGTACCAAGAAAGTGAATTTCTGCCTTTTTGTCTCCCCACGCCCTCCTGCCTTGTGCTCGCCTCCCCCCTGCAGTCCAAGGAATCCTCGTCTGTCTTGAGTTGTGACATTTCGGCGGATGACAAATATATTGTAACAGGCTCTGGTGACAAGAAGGCCACAGTTTATGAGGTCATCTACTAAACAAGGACTCTGACTGGGCTGTCAGACTCTGGGAGAAAAAGACTCGGCGGTGACAGGGCGACCCCGCGAGGGGCCCCGAGGCTGGCGGAGGCCAGCGGTGGGCAGCCGAGCGGTCCAGGGCTGCGCTCCGGCAGGCCAAGAGGGCGCGCCCGCCACGGTCTGGACCCCTGGGCATGGACTCCTGTGTCTCATGGACTCTGACGGCTGTCTCTCCTCCTCCCTGTCCACAACCCTGGCAGATGCTACACGTAGATTTCTTTGGAGGCTTGGGGTTCCAGCCCCCCGACAGACGCCATCATGAATCTCCATCTTTCCTTCCCCTCTCTTGCTCTGTCCCCCTGCCCCGGGTCGGGGGGGGGACACTGGAGTGGACCAGGTGTTTGTGCTGGGGGAGGGGGGGATCTCATTTTCCCGATTGTGCAGCGCACAACATTTGTGAAAAATGTAAATAACAGACTCCTCTATCTCGGACTGGTCAGTGGGGGAGGAGGCCCCTTCCCACCGAAAATGCTAGCCGCGTACTAGCCGTGTACTTCGCCTGCTGTATTTGTAACCCACTCGTGGTGGTGGCTTTTTTGTTTTGTTTTGTTTTTGTTTTAAGGGACATCCCCATCTGGGAAGGGGAGGCAGGGAGGGGGAGCCAAATGGAGAGGGAGTGGAGGGGCAGAGGAAGGGAGCTGCAGCTGGTGACCAGCCTGACCAGGAGGAGGGGGGGGTCCCTGGGACGAATGCACCCCCCTGTGGACTTGGGAGCAGCCCAAGGCCTGTCGGGACCCGTGCAGGCTGCGCGGGCGGCCGGGCAAGGCTTGCGTGGTGGCCAGCCAGGCTGACGAAGGTCGGATTCTCTGTGGCCGCCTGCGCTCTCCTCCCTCTCTCTCAGGGGTCCGACTCTTGCTCTCTCTTTCCTTCTCGCCTCGCTCGCTCGCTCTCTTTGGTGCGCACTTGGTTATGGTGATGGGAGGTGGAGGCGCGAAGGAGCTCCATCTCTGGCCCTTCTTGATCTCCGGACACAACCTTCAAAGGACAAAAAGTTAGAGGAAAGCATAGCAACTCAGCTCAGGGAGCTACCAGAGAAAAATAGCAACTGATGTGGGTGCTTTTTTTTTTTTTTTTTTTTTTAAATAAAAAGAATTAGAACTGATGTCCTTTATAAAAATGCCTTCTCCCCCTTTCCTGCCTCTGACCCCCTCCTCTCTCCCTAGAGGGGGAAAAGTGTAATCAACCTGCAAGGGTTGTGAGTCTGAAGGGACAGTCTCCCCCCCGCCCACCCCGGGCAGCACAACAGGGCTGAGGGGACCAGGGGTCGGTTGGGGACACCGGTCCTGGCACTGTGGTGACTTCTTGCGGCTTTCAGTCTCTTTGGAGCCCAAACAGGTTACAGGTAGAAAAATCGTCTCCTGCAGGTACCACTCTTTGGTACCAAAATGTTCTGAGGTATTAGGACTTGGGTTTATTATTTTCTTCTTCTTCTTCTTCTTCTTCTTGGTCTTTTTTTTCTTCTTTTAAGGAAAAGCTAAAGGCCGATGTGAGTCCTGGTGGTGGGCTCTCCATGGATGTAGCATATGGAAGATAATTTTGATACTGCATTTTTATGGATTATTTTATAATGTGTGATTCCGTCTGGTGAGAAGGGAGGAAGGGGCCCCAGTGGAAACTGCTGGTCTTCAGTGATCTTGCTCCAGTCTAGCAGCTCCCCTGATGCGACCCAGAGGCGTGGAGAGGCCGTGGAGACCGGCCGGGTGCCCTGTACCTTTCTGAGGTGGGGGAGGGACCGTCTGGAGAATTTCTCTCTTTCTCTGGGTCTTGGATGTGCATCTGCCATGTCTTGTTAAAGGCTCTAGCCACAAGGGAGGGTGAGGGTAGAAGAAAGATGATTCCTGAAGAAAAAAAGAAAATGAAAAGTCATTGTAATGAGCTGTTTTTATATTTTTAAAAGTTGCTATTTAAAGGTTGGCTTGATTGTTGTGTTTTATTGCCTCTACCCCCCCCCCCCCCCCCGTTTGTCAGACCTCCCCCAAAAGAGAGGGCGACCACCGTCACCCTCATGGCCTGGATTCTGGGTGATTTCCCTCGTCATCCCTAAACAGGAGCTCTTGTCATTTCAAAGCACTTCCCACACTGCCCCCAACCCCCAAAAGTCTGATCTCGCCAGGACAGTGAGGGGGTGTTCTCCCTGCCTTCCCCAGGCTGCCTTCCGGTCTCCACACTGGGGAGTGGTGGGTGGGAGCCCACCACTGGGCTCCTCTGCATGCACACGCAGGATAAAGTTCCCCAAGGGGAGGACCGAGGATTTACACCAGAGTCTTACTAGACAGTCGTCCACGCAAAACGTCTTGGTAAAAAATGAAATGCGAAGAACTTCCAAGTGTAAGGTGTCTATGAACATCATCTGGACCCTGAAAGCCTTCACCATCTTACGTCTCAAGTTAGATGTCACATGGGGGACCTCAGTCTCCAGTTCACAAAGCTCTGGGTGAAGGCTTTTGGAGGGGGGATTTTGCAGAAGGGGTAGGGTAGGAAGTGCAGGCCAGTACCCTCGGAGGCAGGGCTGGGCTAGGGGGCTTCCTAGGCTCTGGGGTTTCCTGCACCCAGTAGAGAGACCTCTCCTAAAGCTGGGGACTGACATGGTTTCCAACTCCCGTCTCTGGTCAAAGTCCTACTAAATCCACTGTCGTTTTACACAAAAAAGGGAATAACAACGTTTTTCAAAAGGAGTTAGAATGAAGCACAGTCTTTATTAGCCTAGAAAGGACAGCTGGACTGCATGCACAGAGGGGTTGTCCAGCCGGAGAGGGATGTCCGCTCAGGCTTCTAGAGGAGAAGCTTCTGGCAGGTAGAGCAGGTAGGAGGAATGCTGATCTGGGGCTGCTGTGTGGCCAACAGCTCTGTATTGGTTGCGTGGACTTTAGTAGAACATCACACTCCTCTGTCCACGCTGATGCATTGAAGCAGAGGGATAGAGGGCCAGCTGATGGGCTGTGGCCAGAAGATTCTGCATGTGCCCGGGACCCACCTGGGGATTGCCCACCGGTGCTAAGATAGGAGTTGGGCTGGTAGGCCTCAAGGAGAGGACAAGCCGCATATCTATCAGAGAAGGCTCACCGAAAGTCTTGCCCTGGCAGAGGTGGCTATAACCATTTCCGAGGAGGGGGAAGCAACCTCTGGAAGGCTGTTGTACCCAGATGTCCTGGGCACAGGCAAGGATGTAGAGCCGACCGAAATCTGGTCCTAACCCCGGAGGCTCCCAGTCGAGGGTAGGGAGACCATAGAGCTCCAAATTTGACTCTGTCCATGCTGCTGGCGACACATCCCGGGCCCCAGCTGCAAGCGCCTTGCCTCCCACCTGTTGTCACCACCATTGTCCCTTACACCGGCTTGCCAAGCCTCTCCACGCAGATGGTCCCATTGTGTGCTCCCTCCGCCTCTCACCCACCACTCTGCTCTGCTTCCCAGCCAGCTTGTTAGAAACCTCGAATCTCAGTCCTGCTGCAGCTGAGTCTGCATTTTAACAGCCCCTCCGCTGACTCCTTGGCACCTGTACGTTTGTGAGGGGCTCTTCTAGTCCAAGGTGAGGGGCCCACTCACAGCAAACAGAAACGCAGGCCCAGTCAGTCCTGGCATTGGCCACATGTCACCACACCTGTCTGTCTGCCAAGCTAGACCAGCTTCCCCGGAGGGCAGCTCCCAGGACTTAAGTGGCCCCGGGGTGGTCCTGGCTTGAGATTATTCTATTTCTCTGGGAGCAGGGCATCTGGATGCTTGTAGTTGAAGCCAAGAAGTCGGCTGACTTCTGGAGTTCTGTCAACTCTGCCATTGCGCAAAGCAAGGAGATCTGTTTTTAAAAATGGGGAGGGTATGATGGTGAGAAGGCAGCTTTCATGCTTTTAGTCCACATCAGATTATGGACAAGTGTCCAGGTCATTCCAAGCCACAGCTGACCAGGCCGCGAGCCGCCTGGCCTTTCTCTATCCCCTTCCCCCACCCGTATGCTGCTCAACCCCAGCATAGGTGGTGATCTCCTAATTTTAACATCTATGAGAAGGTACAGAGATACAGATCTCTGGGTACTGCAGCTGGACAGATCCTTAGCAAGAATGCTATATGGTATAACCTGGCCATCAAATATTTCATCATGACGGAGTGTATACTTTTTTTTTCAGGAATGCAGTGCTTGAAAATGAACATTTTTAACGTAAAGTCTAGCAAACAAACATTAATATTTTAAAAATTTGCATGGTTATGCATCATTTTCTTTTTCTTACGATAACAATATAAAGTGCACTCTATTCCAGTACCGGTGCAACATTTTTAAACATTATACTAAAATTGGACCTTTTGTATTTGAAGAGGTCTCTCTACTGAGCTCTTAATTTTACGAATGGGACAGTTAGGCCCAGAAAGGGCAAGAGACTCACCATGAGTCACCCAAATCACATCTTGCTCTCCCCTAAATCCCTAGCATACTTTCAGGGAAGGCAGGACTGATATTTGGAAGGTTAGAATCCAGAGGATGAGGGCTCCTGCCCCTTCAACGGTACGGGTGAAAAAATTCCTCATGGAAAGAAGTAGCCAAGAAAGGCCATGGAAACCAGCCTTCTCCCTTGAGAACCTAGAACTCACCCATCCATCCATCCGTCCGTCCATCCCCTACTCGCTCATCTATCCGTCCATCCGTCCATCCATCCACCCATCTGTCGAACTATGCTTGTATCCACCCGTCCATCCAACCAACATTTATGTAGTGAGAATTAATATGAGAGGCTTGGTTTTAGATGCTGGAATGCAAAGATCAATAAGACAATGCTTACCCAAATAGAACTTTCTCAGCCAGAGGTGGGAAAGAGCTGATCCCAGGGCAGAGGAGGAGATCAGTGATCTGAAAGTGAAGAGTGTAAGAGAGAAAGTGAAAGATAAGAAGCGCCCCCCCGCCCCCAACTCCATCCCTGCCCAGCTCAGGCCTTCCTCATGTCCATTAGGTCACCATTAGTCAGGGCCCAGAAAACTCCATGGTGCACTTGCCCTGACCCTGACTCAGCCCTCTCCCAGACAAATCAGACAGGGCAGGGTTGATGGCTCAGAAGTGGGCTCTTGGGACCTCCCAGACTGTGGAGGTCGGATGAAAGTCAGATGGGGCTGGAGCCTTCGTCTCTCCTTGATATCACAGCTGCCTGATGCAACCGTGTGCTGACAATAGGTTACACGGTTTGAAAAAAGCACGTCTGGAATCTTCAGTGCTGGCAAATGAAACAGCAGGCTAGTAAGGATTCCCTTTAACCACGTGGACACTGAGACATCATGGATAAGATTAAGCTAAAACAATTTTACTAGCTTACGTAGAAAGAAAAAGAAGAAAGGAAGAGAGGGAGGGAGGGCGGGAGGACAGAAGGAAGGAAGGTTGGAAAAACGGAATGAAGGAAGGGAAGGAGGGGAATCCTTTAATGTCATAAATTTAAAAACTTTAAAGGCAGAGTAGGGAGGTCCCAAGCTCAGAACAAAAGCCCAAAACTACACAGAGCAAAAATTGACAAAATTACAAGGAGGAACAGGAGTCTTCGACATGCCACTAACAGAAACTGGTAGATCAAGCCAAGAGTAATTTATAAGGATGTAGAAGATTTGAATAGCATAATTTGGAAGCTTGAGCCATCGAACCCTATAACCAACTATTGAAGAGTACAGATTATTTTCCAGCACACCCGGAAGACTTAGTTTTACCAATCAAAGGAGCAGAGGAGGCATTTTACAAAATTCAATCCCCAGTCGTGACTCTTCCTAAAGTACCAAACTAGGAATAAAAGAAAATGGCTTTAATATGACAATGGATAGCTAAACCAGACCAGCGGCCCAATAATAGGTAGTGGTTAAGTTTTCGGAGCATTGGTTTAAAGTCAGCAAGAAAACAAGAATAATCATTATTACCGCTTCTATTCAACGTAGTTCTGGGGGCTCTAGCCAATGTAATAAGGCAAAATAAAAGAATAAACAAGGTACAATGAGTGAAAAGAAAAAAAAGTTGTAATTATTTGTTGCAGATAATATGACTGTATACATAGAAAATATATAAGCAATTAAAACAAATAAGAGAGTTTAGTCAAGTTGCTATATCCAAGATCAACATTCATTTATCAATAGCTTTCCTATTCCTAAGCAATAACCAATTAGAAAAATGTAGTATAAAGAAAGTACATTTACAGTAGCAAGAAAACGTACCCACGAATCGATCTTAGCAAAGCTACACAAGACCTTTATGAAGAAAAATATAAAATTTTATTGAAGGAAATATTTTTGAAAAGACCTACATGGATCCTACGTTATACCATATTCATTGATGAGAAAATCCAATTTTACTTCAAATGCTGTCTTTTCCAGAAACCTGTAATGGAATGTTACACAAATCCAACTAGGATGTTTTCTATATAATTTCACGCTGACACTAAAATTTATCTGAACAGTAAAGGACCAAAAAATAGCAAGTATAATTTTGAAGAGGAATAAGGAAGGAGGACTTGCCCTCCAGAAATCAGGACTTACTGTAAAGCTACAGTCAAACAGACCAGTAGAACAGAATTAAGTCCATAAATAGACCCCCGTATAAATAAGAATCCAACTATTTATGATCCATGTGGCATTATGTGTCAGTGGAGAAAAGCATCAGCAGATAGTTCTAGGACAATAGGCCACCTTTATGGAGGGAAGATTGATCTCTACCTCACACACTACACAAAAATAAACTCTAGTGGGATTAAAGTCTTTAAACTTGTAGGATAAAATATTGGAGAACAGCCTTAGTGGTGTGAGGAGGGAAAGGATTATTGGACAGGACACAGGAAGCGAAAGCTATATAATGAAGAAAAAGAAAGGTCAACTTGATTGCATTAAAATTTTAAACACCTGTATAGCAAGAGATGAAACCCTTACAAGACATGAAAAAATATACATGCAGGATGC